CAATTCCGAGCGATGGAATTTGCCATACAGCTTCGGGGAATTCGAGAGGAGGAGAGACAGGACTTGAGACAGGTTTGCTCTGAAGCCTTGGCTAAGATTTTACAAGCTAATCCTGATTTGGTATTTCATAAAATAGATAAAATTTACAGAGTGAACTCTTGGGTGGCCAGACAAAGACAATTGCCTAGAGATGTGGTCATATACTTTACTGAGAGAGAAATTAGAAATGTTATCCTGCAAAAATCTTTTCACACTTCTGTACAAGTGGGGGGCTCACGACTTGAAATTTTTAAAGAATTACCTCCTAAAATGCTGAAAGCTAGAAAAGAATTTGGTTTTCTTGTTAAGGAATTGAAAAATTTACAGATACCCTTCCGGTGGGACGCACCAGCTGGGATAATTTTTAGATATAAGGGAGAAGGATATCGGTTGAATACCGTGGAGAAGGCACAACACTTTTACAGTACTATTCTTAAGGAAAGAACACCATCTCCACGTACATCTACAGTTTTGGAGATTAAGGAGAGTGAAGAGAGGCAATTGAAAGAACAGTCTAAGCAGGAATTAGAAAACGTGCAAGGTGCAGAAGGAGGTTTTCTGAGTGAGCCCTTGTTGGATTCTTCTCCAATTTTGGATTTGATTCAGTTGACAGAAGTTAAAGATCAACGTATAACTAGAGCCCAATCCAAGCTACTTAAACAACAGCAACAACAACAACAGGAAAGACAAGACAAGAAGGCAGTTAAGAGTACCGTACAAGAGAGTGGAGCTATGGGAGGAGCGAGATCGAAGCTCTCGGATGAACTTCAAATATTTTGCTCTGTGCTCCAGAAAGAGGCTGATGACCTTTAAGTGTCTATCTTGGAATGTCAATGGGTTGAATTCAGCACAGAAAAGGAAGAAATTATTTACATATTTGAAACAATTTAATAATGATATAATATGTTTACAAGAAACGCATATCACAACTCAAGATCAAAAATATTTGATAAACTCAAAACTAGGAGCACATTATATATCTTCAACTTCGCAGAAAAAGAATGGTGTGGTTATTTATGTAAATAAAAAATTAACAGCGAAAGTTATAGAAGCAGATCAAGATGGTAGGTTTGTAGCAATTGAACTGCTCACAGCAAATGGTCAAATTCTTTTGATTGGAATTTATGCTCCCAACCAACAACAGGATTATTTTTATAAGATGTTACATACTAAAATATTTCAATGGGACTATAGATCTATTTTAATTATGGGAGACTGGAATGGAGTAATTGATTCTAAACTAGATAAAAAGAGCTTGGCAAAGTCTAGAATTAGACTACCACAGACTTTTTTTGATATGAAAGAAGATATGGAATTAAAAGATGTTTGGAGAATACATAATCCAAATGAATTGGACTACACTTTTTTTTCGGATAGACATAGATCTTTTTCTAGGATTGATTTTATCCTGTTGTCAAATGATCTACTTGTTAAGACAAAAAGAACAAAGATTTTTCCAAGAACTCTGACTGACCATAGCCCTGTATGGATAGAAATTGAGATGGATAAGGTTGAGAGACGTTCTTGGAGATTAAATGAGAACTTGTTTAGATATGAAAAAAATACAATAGAACTTAAAAAGCATTTGAAAGAATTTTTTGAAATAAATTTGAATAAAGGTACCCCAATTGAAATTGTTTGGGATGCAAGTAAAGCTTATATGAGAGGGGTACTCATCTACATGAATTCTAAACATAGACTGTTCCGACAAAAGAAAAGATTTGAGTTGGAAATGGAAATAAAGAATAAAGAACAGTTACTTATTAAAAACCCAACAGATGAAAGAATACGAAGTGCTATAAAACTTTTGAAAGACCAATTTCAAATGCTTATGGCGGAACAAGTTGCAACAAGTTTACAATACGCGAAGCATAATACATTTTGCAACGCTAACAAACCGGGCAGATGGTTGGCTTACACATTGAGGAAAAAACAAAGTATACGGACTATTGATAGTATTGATATTGGAGGGAAAGAAATCTTTCAACAAAAACTAATTAAAGAAGCTTTTGTGGATTATTATACTAAACTATATGCCAAAGAAGAGGTGCAGAATGGACTTATAGAAAAATATTTAAAGGATAAGAGAGTTACAAAAATTACTGATCAACAAAAGGAAAGAATGAATTATCCTATAACAGAGGAGGAGATAACAGCAGCAATTAAACAGCTAAAAACAGCCAAAGCTCCTGGCACGGATGGTTTGACCGCAGTGTATTACAAAACTTTATAAGCTGAAATGGTGGGACAACTTAGAGATTTATTTTGCAATATTCAACAAGGGGGCAAAATACCCCCATCTTGGACAACTGCTTATATATCTTTGATACCAAAAGAACAAGTTGGTCCTAAAAAACCAGAGAACTACAGACCAATATCTCTTTTGAACACAGACTATAAAATTTATGCGAAGGTATTAGCCAACAGGTTGATGCCAGTAATCCAAAAGGTGATTCATGCGGACCAAGCGGGATTTATTGAGGGCAGATATATGAAGGACAATGTAAGGCAAGTAATAGACTTATTGGAATATCTTGACAAGAATAAACAGATTTCTGCAGTGCTGGTTTTTTTGGATGCGGAGAAGGCCTTTGATAGAGTGGATTGGAATTTTCTATTAAAGACTTTAAAAAAGATGGGCTTTGGGGACCAATTTATACAGGCGATCTCAGCAATTTATCAAGAGCAAAAAGCACAGATTATTATTAATGGAAGTTTGACGACAGAGTTTAAAATTGAAAAAGGAACAAGACAGGGATGTCCGTTGTCCCCACTTTTATTTATTTTAACATTGGAAGTCTTGCTAAATACAATACGGGACTCAAAAATTTTGAAAGGCATAATGATAAGGCAAGAGGATTATAGAATAAAGGCATTTGCAGATGATCTGGTGGTTACCCTATCACAACCAATGGAATCAACAATCCTGATGAACGACATTATACAAGACTATGGTAGAGTTTCAGGTTTTAGAGTGAATTCAAAAAAGACTAAAATGATAGCTAAAAACATGACACAAGATCGCAAACATGAGCTTGAAAGGAGGGCAGGTTTTGAAATTGTACCTAAGGTAAAATATCTTGGAGTTCAGGTTGCAGAATCAAACATGAAATTGTTTCAAAATAACTATGAGGTGTTGTGGCGAGAGGTTCAGAAAGACATGGAGACTTGGAAAAAGCTGCAACTGTCTTTACTTGGAAGAATAGCAGCAGTTAAGATGAACATTTTGCCAAGATTTCTGTTTTTGTTTCAAATGATTCCGGTGCTTAAAAGTGATAAACAACTGAAAGTTTGGCAAACTGGACTTAATAAGTTTGTCTGGAACGAGAAAAAGCTGAGAGTGAAATTGAAAATTATGCAAGATGTTCCAGAAAGAGGAGGCCTTAAACTTCCAAACCTACAGTTATATTATGATGCAGCAGCTTTAACTTTAACAAGTGATTGGTTTGGAAGTAAAAAGGCTGGAATATTGAATGCAGAAAGTTTTGATCTTGAATTTGGATGGCATGCTTACCTATTTTATGATGACAAAGTTGATAAAGTATTTAAAAGTCATATACTTAGAGACTCTTTGATGAGAGTTTGGAAGAAGCACCGACTCAAATGGGATTATAAAATACCGCTATGGCTGGATCTTGGTATCATCAGCATATTGATGATATCTCACCCCAAAGCCACGAATGATCTTACCCAGCGGCTTCATATAGATGTTAAAGAGCTTGGTATTGCTTGGTAGAAAACAAATAGTGCAAGCCTCTCCAAGTGAGAGATGGAAAGATTACTAGTAATAATAAGCAATGGCAGAATTTTTTTAAAAAACCCTCTTTTCTGGAGGAGAGTGATGAGAATGAAATCTAGGGAAGGCAAATGGGGGAGTGATTGTATGAGATGCTGAGCGAGAGTGTTTAATCGCATAACTGAAGAAACTTAGAGCAGCTCATGAAACTAGTTAAAAATGCAATATTGAAATAATTTTATTATTTAGATTTCTGTTCTTTCTCCTATCCTGTTATATTATCAATAGATTTAAAGAAAAGTGAAATCTCAAAGGAAAGGGAGGAATTTTAGAAAGAAGAAACCTATTGAGTAGTAATGGGCAGAGTAGAGATATTGTGGGAGATACTCAGGGGAGGATTTCAAAACCCTTGTGTATGCGCAGAAGCATCCAGGCAGTGGGCGGAGCCTCCCACTATTGCCGCTACCGGTTCTCCCAATCTGGGGCAAACCGTTAGCAACCCACCACTGGAGATACTGGAATATTTATTTTCCAATTGATATGATTCCAGAAATCCTAAGATTTTCAATATCCTATAAGTGATAGGAAATTTTTGAGTCTTTTCATGAAAGAAGATGGATGGGCCAAATTCACCATGTGGGTGACATTCTTATTTTCCAAGAAATTCCCACTAATTAAATTGTCCCCTAGAAGCTACACCTACATTTTCTATTACAGCAAAAGTGCATCTTCATCATATGGAATTTAATTTCATTGTTTGTTTGTTTATTTAACTTATATGCCATCCATCTCACTCACCTACAGGCAACTCAAGGTGTCTTACAATCAATAAAACAAAACAAAACAAAACATGAATATATTAAAGCAATAAATATTAACCCTAAAATTATTTTAAATCCTATTCAGTAAGAGATACAACAATAGATCTCTTGCACTATCTATAATAGTTTATGTGGTTGATCATTTTCTTTTTCCCTGTGAAGTGTCTTTAATTCCATATTTTTTTCTTTTTCATACCACAATAGACACAAACAATTCTAAATAATTTCTAGAAGTAACATTTTGCATGCAGTATGTGGGAAATGTTCTTACTTTGTTCCCAAATGCCAAACTGTAAAAGGTAGTCAAAAAGTTGCTTTTTCACAGTTTAGGCAGTTACTTGTTTGTGAGGTGGTATGAGATCACAATATTATTAATAATATTTGCAACCATAATGAGAGGCTTCATATGAAAAAGAAATTTAACTATTGGTATTCCTAGTTTTTACCCCACAAGATTCCATTAGAACAGTATTCTACATTCATCCAACAATTTATCTGCCTTTAAGACAAAGATTGGCAACCAGAGCTTTACAGACATCCACCAAGGTGTTTGCCACCTGATCTGAACACCAAAAATAAATACTGAAAGCAAAAATGTAATATAATTCTAGTAAACTTCAAAGCAGAATGCCAGTCTCTGTCACCATTTCCATGAATGCTTCTATGGCCTATAGAAGCAGAATACAAGGTGGATGATGACATCACAGTGCTTTATTTAGAAGTGAGATTCCTGCTGACCTCCCTTCTCCCCACCAAGAAGGCAAAGGACCAATGATATAGGAGAAAACAATCTCAGCAAATAAGGATAGTCTTGGATCTTTGCTGCTGTTAAACTTAATTTTAAATGTCTAGGAGACAACCAGTAACCTAGAGTGTCATTCTTACCTTACTAGGATCCTAGCATCCTCAAAAAGGACGAAGCTCCCAACGTGAAGCCTTCACCTGAAAAACTGGGCATACACTCAGAGATAGCCCCTGTTGCGTGATGCTATATAGCACAGTGAAATGACAGCATAGAAAATGATTTATGACATTTTGTATTAAGTCATAATCTAGTATGTAGCTTTAATAGGTGTTAGGTAGGGACCCCATATGCCTCAGAGCACCTTTAGCTTTGAATACCAAGGATTATAAAATAGAATAAGGGGCCCTGAAAGGTGTCAGATGTCTCACACAAAGTCTGTTAAATCAAAGAAAGAAAAAATGGGTGATGAAAGATTTAGGGAAGGCCCCAAATCTTCCAATGAAAATTGAACATACAGAATGTCCTTGAACTGCTAAATGGCTTGGGGAGGAAGAGGGAGAGAGACAGAGAAAGAGAGAGAGAGAAGAGAAGAAAGAGAAGAGAAAAGAAAAAAGAAGAGAAAAGAAAAGAAAAGAAAAGAAAAGAAAAATGGAATGGAATGGATGCTTAACTGGCTTCCTATAGTTTTAATGAGGAATAGAGATGGAGAACAGAGGGAGGGAAGATGTTGAATTGAAAGGTAAATTAGAGTCCTCTAAGCTTATTAGAGATGTCATAGGATTATTTGAATTGAGGATAAAATGTTCCCAAATGTTGGGAAAAATACCAAACTGTTGTCTTCACACTAGATGCTAAATTTGGGGAGGGACTTTGGGGAGGGGTAGTGACTGTGTTGCTGCATATCTGATATTGACATCCTCTGATATTGGTGTTCAATTAAGAATTGGATTTTTATGTTTGAGGTTTAGTAGCTCAGATCTCCCCTTCTAACTCCCTATCCATGCTCTTATTATTAGTATTGTATCTTGTATATACAAAAGGTCCTTGACTTATGATCACAATTGAGACCATAATTTCCATTGTTAAGAAAAGCAGCAGTGTTAAATGAGTTGCATCCAATTTTGCAAACTTACATAACTCTAGAATTTCTTTATCTACAACAAGCACCAGATTAAAAACCATAGTTTGTTTATGAGGGTTATGAATGGTTGTGACAGGCACAAGGATGGAAAAGTTCATCTTCTTAACAGTATGTCTCAACCACTTAACATCTGGGTTAGGAGATTCTGGCTGAGGAACATGCTGGCTGAGGACTTCTGGGAGCTGAAGTCCACACATCTTAAAGATTGTAAGGTTAATCAACATTGCTCAATACAACTTTGTCCTATCCAATTGGTCCCTTTGATTAATTGGTCCAATTGGTCTCTTGATTAAGGTTCTTTCAACCTACCTCCAAAATGTGGACAGGGCCAAGTAGAGGAAACAGTCAGGACAACTCTTATCACTGCATTCATCATACCATGGTTATCCCCCCAAATGCAGAATTTTCCATAACTTTGTCAATTAAATATACAATTTTCAAATGAGTTATAGAGAATTGGAATGGGGAGAAGGTTCTCTCTTCCTTCACAATATTTGAACTTGGGGGCCTGATTAATACTAATTTGGGGAGATCTGTGCCTGAACTAATTTTTTTAGTAGAATAATTAAAAGATGGGATTGTTTGCCATAAAATGAGATGATGGCCACTATTTTGAAAGATGATTGGACAATTTCATGGAGCATTGCTCTGTCAATAGCCATTAACCTTGATGACTGTTCATTACCACTGAAATTACAGTTCCATTGCCTAGCCAATTATATATTTTTTCTTTACAGTACTCAAATGTCAAATGTGCTTAGCTTTCAATCCAATCCATCTTGACTCTGATAGCAAATTGATCCAGCAAGAATTGCAAGGGGAAGGGGAAAGACCAATCTCCATTCTTCTGCCTGTGTTAATGTTTTCTGCTTTTGGCAGGTTTTTGACATGGTTTCTAGACTTGGAAGGTGATGTGTACAGCTGATTTTGTAATACTAATCTCTTAGAATCATAGAATCATAGGGATGGAAGGGACTTTGGAGGTCTTTAGGTCCACCCTTTGTTTAAGGCTTGAGACCTTATTGTATATTGTCACAGACAAATGGATATCCAATCTTTTCTTGAAGACCTTCAGTGATGGAGCACCCACAACTCCAGAAGGTGAGCTGTTCATTGATTAATTGTTCCTACTGTCAAAATATTTCTCCTTAATTTCAGGTTGGATCTCTCTTTAATGAATTTCCATCTACTCCTTCTTGTCCTGGTGCTTTGGAGAATAAGTTGTCCCGCTCTTCTATGTGACAGCCCATTGACACCCAAGTTGGGGAAATAGAGCATGGGGCATCTCAGGGGTGGGGAAGGCCTTGGGACTGAGGGCCACACGAAATAGACTTTGTAATAGTTACAATATATATTTTATAGTACTGTTGCACTGGCTAACTAACATAGTTTTTACAAGAAAAACTTTAAAATTTAAAAAATAAATAAATTTGATTTTTCCAATGTATTGCTAACAATTTGTTTTTGAAGTCTTAAACTTCAAGAAAAGCCTTTCTTTTAGAAACAAGGACTGGCAGGAGAGCATTCGATGCATTGTAAATAACAGTTTCATTTTCAGCTGTTCTCAGGCCTCCATGAACAATGGAAATATTTCAAGCCCAACTTTGGGAAACACTAAGAATGTATCTTACCCATACCCATTCTGATGTTTTCCCTTTGCAATTTTTTTTTTTACTTTTATTCAGAATATAAAGCTCTTTTATATGGCTATGCTCACATAGATTGGATGCTTTAATTCTGTAAATATCTGTTTAATTGATATAACAAGAAAAATATGTAAAGGCAGAATGTAGGGCCAAATTTGGCCATCAGAATGGCCAGGGCATGGTTTCTCCCTCTGATGAACCATTTAACAATCAACATGTTTGTTTTACATTTCATTGGGGACAGCAGGTGAAATATTCATTTAATGACCACCATGACATGTGACCAGGCTCTGTTACAGTCATATCTCAAGGACTACCTGTATAGAGCAGTGCTATTAGGATCTTGATGCTTTCTTGGCCATCAGAGAATTTCAAGGCTGTTGTAGAGCAGGAAGCAGAACTTCCATTCTGCTGGAAAGGAAGAAAAGGTTCAAGAGCAAGAACCAAGTATGCAGGGATGCTGTCCAGAATGGACGACTCTTCAAATAGGATCTCCACTAACAGCACTTGTTGATAAGAACTCTTGTTGAAGAAGAGTTCTAAAGTGCTTTTAGTGGGGATCCTACTCTTTTGACTGGAGAAATTCCAAGACAACACAGAAGCAGACCGTCAAAGCTAAATATATGGATTGAAATTGCAATTATATCAGCAGACAGTACAAATCACTTGTTATTAGCTGGGGATGTTTGTACCCCAAAACTCTCAAAATGCACCTTGAAAAAACAAATCAAATTATAAACTAATAAGACCTAAATAAGTTAGAAATTCATATGGGAAATTATGTAGTGCTGATATTTCCTTTGGGGTTAAGAGATGGATTTCATCATTTAGCAGTTCTTATTTTAACAGTTTATAGAAAGTATTTATTGTGGGGAAAAAAAGTGCTGTGGTTTTTTGAGGGAAGAACATGAAGAAACAGGTATATTCACTGCTTGAACATCTAAGAATCAGAGAATAATGTATTAGCAAGTAAGTTCTATACGGGGTGAACTTGATAATTAGTTCATTACAAAAAGGATAGGCTTATGACACAGTATGGGTTACTGTGGCATTTGAATTCAATCAGTATGGTGATTATGGATGGACAAAGTGATTCAGCACAATAAGTTAATCATTCCAGAGTGTTTTCAATGCAAATATTGTGGGGCAAAAAGCTCCTAATAAAAGCTGAGGTTGTACTTGAATGTTAACTCATTTTATCAGTTTGCTTTTTTGTCATGATATTCTATATTTTTTCTGTCTTTAATAACAATATTCCATTCATATAAAAATTGTTAATTGTTTATGCCAGGCTCTTGTGAAAAACAGAATGTCCGAACAGATCACAATAATTAAGGAAGAGGTAAGTGGAACACAGTAGTAATGCTGATAAAATAAAGCTGAGTTATTTAATTGCTAATATTTTCAGTATCAGCAATGATAATTTTTAAATAGATTACAGATAAGTTTAACTAGAACAGAAAAAAACGGACTAAGATAATGTAAAATCTATTTAAAATACCAGGTTATTGCACAATGAAACTACTAACAGGTTATTTAAAAATGTTAAAATAGTAGGTTAATAAATAAAAGATAAAATCTTACTCAAAATCAAGAAATTATAAAAGAGAGAAACTCAGAGGAAGAAAGTGAGAAGAAAAATGGTAATAATTTCCCAGCCAATGAACTGTGTGTAAAACTTCAGATGGATCCTGTTAAAATCTTTTCCTTTAAGACTTCAGTCACTATTTCCCATAGATTCATTATCTAAAACAAACCTCTCTTAATTAATTCTGAATTTTAAAAAGTTTAATAAAGTTAGACTAGAAGATTATAACGAAATCATCTTCACTGGATTATCTAATTATATCTGTTAAGTTTTTTTTCAGCTTTCTAAAAGTTTGGAACACCAAAAGTGAAAAAGTTGGTTTCTAGTGTCCCATTTTTACTATGCGCAGTCCTCAATTAATGATCACAATAGAGCCCAAAAATTCCATTACTAAGCAAGACAGTGTTAAATGAGTTTAGCTCCAGTTTACCACCAATCTTGCTCATAGTTATTAAATGAATCATTACAATTGTTAAATTAATAACATGTTTTTTAAATGAATCTGGCTTCCCCATTATTTCTCTGTGATAATTTCTTCTTCTTTTGAACTCAAATGAAACTTTTCATTAAAATCAACTGATGGTGTCATTTTATATTTTATAATTTAGAACTGAGAAATGGGGATTAAGGAGTATCTGAGACAAACAGTAGTAGAGTTTTAAGAATGCTATGTTTTGTAACCATGCAACACAAAACTCCTTTTAAAAAATGTTTGCATTGTAGAAATGCTAAATTTTTTAGTACCAACTAACTTTTAGCCCATTTTTTCTATTCCATTACCCCCTAATTCTGGATTTTTCCAGCCCTTTCAGGAAAAGGTGAGTGAACACTGGGGCAGAAACTATTTTTTAATGTCAATCTTGCTATAATAATATTCATTAGCAACAAACCCGGTAGGCAAGTACAGAATCCTGGATCAGATATTTGACCCAAATTAGAATTTAGGTTACTTTTTCAAAGCATGTTGGGATTGGGGGAAAATGACTTATCCAGTGTAGTATTTGGATGCATGATTTTCTCATTGTGTTCCAGGCTTCACAGGATATTTCCTAGAATGAAGAAATGTTGAACGCAGAGAAAACAAACCTGACTGGCATCACAGAATTTATCCTCTTGGGGTTGGGGAACCCCTCTGAGTTGCAACCTCTTCTTTTCTTGCTTTTCCTGATAATTTATCTTGTGACAATAAGTGGGAACCTCCTTATTATTGTGCTGGTTGTAGCTGACCAACATCTTCACATCCCCATGTACTTCTTCCTGGGGAATTTGTCCTGCCTGGAAACCTTCTACTCCTCAACTATCTTGCCAAAAATGTTGAGCAGTTTTTTAACTGGGGACAGAATTATTACCATGGGTGGATGCCTAGCCCAATATTATTTCTTTGGTTCTTTTGCAGCTACTGAAACTTATCTCCTTGCAGCAATGTCTTATGACCGTTATTTGGCAATATGTAAACCTTTGCTCTATGCTTCTATTATGAGTAGGAAATTATGTTTCCAGCTTATCATTGGGGCATGGATGAATGGGTTGCTAGTTAATGGCATCATGATGTTTCTGATTGGTGACTTATTTTTCTGTGCCCCCAATATCATTGATCATTATTTTTGTGACCTGATTCCTCTAGAAAAGCTCTCCTGTACTGAAACAAGCCGAATTGAACTAGCTACTTTTCTTTTGGCCTTTATTTTGACTGTCACTCCATTTGTTCTAACACTCACTTCTTATTTTTCCATTATTACCACCATCATAAAAATCAAATCCAGTACTGGGAGGCAAAAAGCTTTTTCAAGCTGTTCATCTCATCTCACAGTAGTTTGTCTTTTTTATGGCACCATTATGATTGTCTACATGTTGCCAGACACACCCACCCTGAGACATCTCAATAAAATCTTCTCTATCTTTTATACAATTCTGACTCCTTTGGCTAATCCTATCATTTACACACTACGGAATAAAGAAGTTCACAAAGCCTTTAGTCGTGTTCAGAATAAATTGACATATTTTTGGAAGTTATAACTAATAGGATCCTTTTTTCTTTAAAGAACATCTTGAGTGGAGTTGATAAATGTAGAAATGCTGTAAGAGTCACCAAAGAAAGTTTTTATAACTAAAATTAATTTTGCTATTTTTTTATAGCCATCCACACCATGTAAATTTCTTTCTATTCACCCTACAGCTTGTGAAATTTCACAGCCTATCAGTTTCTACAATTTTTTCTGTCTCCCATCTTTTTATATGGATTTTAAAACATTTGCTAATGTATGTGTACAATCTGAATAGTTTTGTGACTATACTCCAATAGTTTATGTTTAATTCCCATTTATCATGTTTTAGAAAAGTTCGTGTTATTTTTTTCTTATTGTAGGCTTTTAAAAAAGTTTTTAAAATTTAGATATAATTTACATTATAAATAATCATCATAGAACCGTGTTATGAAATAATTATCTTTTAAATAATTATTTTCTATTGTTAATGGATATGTTCTGCTATTTTGTCTTATAACACAGCTTTGATTGGCTTGTTTACTTCTATTTGTTCTGGTTGCTGGTTTACTTTTTCCTAGAAATATTGGAAATAAAGTGAATAAACCGTAATGAATTGTCCAAAAAAACAAAAAACAAAACCACAATATATCTAAGGCTGTTTGCATTAACATTAATAGGACAAATGAGAAATTATTGCCTTTGATAATCTTGGAAGATTTTGATATTGTCTAAATCATGACAAAGTAATAATATGGGGCTTCTGAGTTATTGTAAGGCAGCATGATTTGTAAAATCGAATGTTATTCATGATAAGAAATGTGCATTAACCTAGAAGCATATTTCTAGCATTCTTACCTAGAAGATTAGAGTTGTGTGTCATCACTGTATGTTTTGAAAACAAGAAGGAATTTGTTGGATATAGTTGCTTGGGATTGACTTGAAGGTGGAATCTGACTGGTCTCAAGACTCATATTCTATAAAGTATGTTTCCCAAGCTTGGCAAATCCTACTTGTGTGGAGAATTCTGGGAGTTAAAGTCCACAAAGCTTAAAGTTTTAGAAGCATTGCTATAAAGTCAATATAATTGTAGTCTCTTCTGACAATACTTTTCATTTACCAGTCCATCTACAGCCATTCACCAATTTGATTTGCTGGAGCCTCATTAGTTTCACACATGATACTCTCCAACTCTGAGAGAAGCCATCAGGGCTTACATACTATTGGCATATAAACAAAACAAAATTTAAAAACCTCTTGTTCTTTCTTGCAACAAGTACAGATTGATTAATAGTTCCCCACTCTCTATGATAATTGCATACATGGTTCAATTTTTATCATAGCCAACTCCATTCACAAATTGACAATAATTCTCATTCCTATTTAGCTTTTGTCATTTGCTTTATATTATTTAAATTTTTTAAATTGCTAAATAATTATTTGGGATGACTTATCTTACTTACAACACAAGGTAGTTTTTCAAACTTGTTTGGAAGATGTCTTTTACTGAACAATAATTACAGTTCCAAAGGTTATTAGAAAATTTGTTTCAGTGACATCTGGGAAGAATTGCAGCAATTAAAATGAATGTCTTACCTAGATTTTTATTTTTGTTCCAAATGATACCTGTGCTTAAGAAAGATGAAAATCTGAGAGAATGGCAGAAAGGTGTTAATATTTTCATTTGGGCTGGGAAAAAAACCCAGAATAAAAATGAAAATTATACAAGATACATGTGAAAGAGAGTGTCTCAAAATGCCTAACTTAAGATTGTATGATTAAATGGGCACAAAATTTTCAAGAGCCAGTAATGATGGAGACTTGGGAAAAGATTTGGATTAGAAATGTGAAATTTACACAAGCACAAAATTTAAGAGAAAATTTTTATAAAATGTTTTATAGATGGCACTTAGATCCCAAAAAATTATCATGTATGTATCCTAATGTGCAAGCTAAATGTTGGAGATGTGACTGTGATGATGCAACTTATTATCATATATGGTGGACTTGTAGAAAAATCAAAGCATTTTGGATAAAGATTTGGTGGGTGATGCAGAATATTCTTAAAAAGAGACTGAAATTTACTCCACAGTTGTTCTTACTGGGTATAACTACGGACTGTACAGTTGCAGAGACTAAATTGATTTTGAACTTGATAACAGCAGCAAGATTGTTGGTAGCACAACACTGGAAGAAGGACTTTTTGCCTACTATTGATGATTGGATATTGAAAGTAACTAATTTAGCTGAAATGGCTAAAATTTCAGCATATCTGAAGGATCACACACAAGAAAGGTATATACAGGACTGGAGAAGATGGATTGATTATATACAAAATAAGTATTAGACCAAAAAATATCAAATAGCTTATGAATGATCTCTTTTATTTGTATAAGCGCTATATAAGTGATATTAGAAGTATTATGTTTAAGAAATAGGATTTTATATATGGGGGGTTAAGAATTTTTTTTTTAGGGGGTGTTAGTTTAATGATTGGTTATGCAATTTAGTTTATTGTTAAAGGTCAATAGAAATACCTTGTGTTCTGCTCTGGGAAGTCGGGGAGGGGGAGGGGGGATTGGGAGGGAGGGTTGTGGGGAAATTGTGTTTGTTTTAAAACTTTTTCAATAAAAAAAAAATCAAGATTGGGATGAGAAAATTGAAGCCCTAACCTATTTTATGTCTGTCATGACACACTAAAAGAAAAAAGGGCTCAGGATACTCATCTTGATGGTTTTCATCCTCTTCTGGATGCCCTGGAACAAGCAGTCCATATCCAGAATCTAGTTAGTAAATAATATATATGGTTTTTTTAAATGGTTTTTTAATATATATGGTATATTTTTAAAAAAATAAATAATCTTTGTATCAATGTGACCATATGTACTCTTGGGATTTGCTGAGAAATATTGAAATGGATCAATAAATTATTAATCTCTTAACAACACAGCAATCTAAGAAGAAAATTATTCATATTGGATATCCTTTGGGATTCACTATTTGCATCAGAAAATGAGAAAATTAACTGCAAATCTCCCAGGATTAATTATTTAAATTGTCTTTGGAAAGTATTTGAAGAAATATTTCTGTCTTATAGAAGGAAATGTTCAAATTTGCTCAGCATGCAAATTATTTAGTAATAATTTGAAGAAATAGCAGCAGTAAGTTCTGGAACATCTATGACTATGACAGGTAAGTTTTGATCCAACTTCAGTATCATTATTTATTTTGAGAAGACCATGCTCTCTTTCATGATACAATTTTGCATGAAAACATTAGAAAGTTTCCCAAATTGTATTAAACTGTATCATGAGTTCATTTTGGCTTACTTTGATTTGGGGAGATAATATTTAGTGTTGAAAATCATGTTTTTAGCAGGAACACAGTCACTAGGACTTTTTTAGCAATCCATTTAAAAACAAACAAGCATATATTTGGATAATGTATGAAACCAATCCATTATTAATAGTGAGCTGGTTTCACACATTATTTGAATATATGTTTGTTTATTTTTTAAAAAATGGATTGCTGAAAAAATCCCAGTGGAATTAACACAAAGAGTTAATAGTGAAATGTGGACTTGTTTTTTAACCAGATGAAATTAACTAGAATATCAATGACTGTACCAATTGCCTATGGAGACATTGTAAATAGTGCACCTTGGTCTTTTAAAATAGTATCACTTACATGATAAGTTGATTAGGGACTGACTAAAGAAAATAAGTTTCTTTATACTGTAAGAGATTCATTCATTTCAGATTCATTTCCTCAAAAATTGAATTTTGCTTATAATAACCATCAGAAATCATCAAACCAGCAAATCAGCAAATTTATATTTTTTCAAATATAAAGTAGAGAAGTAAGTTTTTAAGTGGTTATTTTCTATTTAAATATATGAAATATAGATAATAATTTATATGGTGGTGAAATTTACTGTACTGAATAAGTGATAACTCTAATAACATTTAGGTTATTTGCCAGGCTTTTAAATATATGAATGGTTACATACTAATTTATGATATATAAAATATATTGTAAGATGATTATCTCATTCCCATCATATTTTATATAGCATGATGTTAACTTGCTCTTGCTTTCCATTTATATATTTATTAACTATAATGGAACACATTCAGTGATTCAATCAGACTGGCAACATTTTTTGTAGATGCCAAGTATATTAAAATCAATTGTACGGTATTGTAGGGTATACTTCAGGTATTTCTTGCTCAAGAATTCTGGTTTTAGAAAGAATTCTATGATCAACTTGAATCGACACATTTATTTTAAAACAAAGTATACATAATCAAGAGAGGATTTTGGATAAAGAAAGAGAACTGAATGCACAAACACATATTGTATTTTACCTATTTAATAAAACAACAATAACCTACACCTCAACATGTACTCTTTTAAGATAGGGATCCATGCTTTAGAATGATTTAATTCAAATGACTTATTTAGAATGACTTGGTAACATAGCTAACACATTTTAGAAAACAACAGAGTATTGAACAGAAATATATTTGATAGAGGTAGGAAAGAGAATACTAATTGATCCCCTGAACTATACTATACTCAAATTATATCTCTTCTCTTCTATGAAATAAATAAGACACATTATTGTGCTGGTTTTAGTCATATTCTTCCACACAAAATGATTCTTAATATATGAGTGCAATAATTGTGAATATTTATTACACAGATATGTAAATAGAAAGAGGAAAATGTTTCAGTATTTAACAATGTCTTTTTAAATATATACATATATATTTAAATGGAAATTTTTAAATGGAAATTTTAAATTTGGTTTTAAATTATTGGGGTTTTAAATTTGTTCAGCCAAATTGTTTAATTCGTTTTATTTTATTTTAAATTTTGTATTTATATGTTTTATTCTATGGCTATGACCACCCTGAGTTTTTCGGGAGTAGGGCGGTATACAAATTCAATAAAATAAATAAATAAATAAATAAATAAATAAATAATATATATATATTCTAGATCTGATGAGACATTTCATGAATTGCTAGATACAGAAAAAGAAAACCAGACAGCCATTCAAGAATTCATCCTTCTGGGTTTGGAGACTTTTCCAGAGCTGCAGATTCTTCTTTTCTGGTTCTTCTTGGTGATTTATTTGATGACAATAACTGGAAACCTTCTCATCTTTCTGCTAGTTGTGGCAAATCAGTATCTCTATACCCCAATGTATTTTTTCTTGGCAAATTTGTCTTGGTTAGATGCTTGTTATAGCTCCATTATCCTGCCAAAATTATTGGTCAGTTTGTTGACTGGTGATAGAACTATAACTCTACATGGATGCCTAGCTCAATGTCATTTATTTGGAATTTGTGCAGCCGTAGAAATCTATCTTTTGGCTGCAATGTCTTATGATCGCTTTGTGGCAATTTGTAGACCTTTGCTCTACAATTCTATCATGAATACAAAATTTTGTTTCCAGCTTATAGCTGGAACATGGATAAATAGTTTGATATTCAATGGCATTCTGGTGGGTGTTATGGATCCATTTCCCTTCTGTGGCTCCAATGTCATAGACCATTATTTTTGTGATTTCCTTCCACTGGAGAAATTGTCCTGTAGTAATAGAA